TACATCCATTCAAGTCTTCTAATGATCAATCCCTCACAATGGAGCGCATGTGTAAGCGGTACGATGGAGATGCCTGGTACAGTGTTAAAGATAACAAAGGCAAAAGAGTTGGCACGCAATTTGCCGCCATGTCCCTTGTTGGCTACACCACACCCAAGATGTTTTTACAGAGAGTATGGGGAAGAGTGGTTGAAAACAAAAATGGCTTTGCCGACCGTTTTCTAGTGTTTTGCTGCAGTCAAGAGAATATATCAATCATTGACAAGGAAGAGTATTCCTCGCAATTGGATGAATTTGCCATTTCATCTCTTGATTTGGTTTATGAAAAGATCTATGCAGAACACAACTGTGGTGATCCTGTGGAATATAAGCTGACTGTGGGAGCTAAGGAAGTGTATCAGAAATTCATTGCACAATCGACACAAGAGGGTCATCAAAGTGATGCAAAAGTATCAAAGAATGCACTAAAGTTGGCATTAGTGCTCCATGTTTTTTTGATCGTCTCAAGAAAGCTATAGACAGCACTGTTGGGCCAGTTCCCAGAAACATACCCGAGCACACCATGAAGATGGCCATTAGTCTCTGTTCCACCTTCTCGCATAATTATAACTATCCACTTAATGTGCTTCATGTATGGGCTGAGAACAATCCAGTTTTGAAGTACAACAATAGAAGGTTAGAAGAAATAAACAAGTGTTTATTTTACTTAAGAGCAGTTCAATGGATCGGTGGCTCGGTTAATAGATCGCTTCGATGGTTCAACCGATCGCTGGTTCGTTAGGTCGATGGATCGCTGGTTCGATGGATTGTTGGTTCGATGGATCGGTGGTTCGCTGGTTCGATGGATCGTTGGTTCGATGGTTTGATGGATCGGTGGTTCAGTGGTTCGCTGGTTTGATGGTTCGATGGATCGCTGGTTCGATGGATCGTTGGTTTGATGGTTCGATGGATCGGTGGAATGATGGTTCGATGGATCGCTGGTTCGATGTTGGTTATTTTCGGGAGACTTACTTAAGGCAATTTGAATCCGCTGACCACAAGTTCTGAAGACGAAGCTTGGATTTTGCGCCATTTTTCAGAATGCTCATCAACATGTCCTGTGGACATGTAGCTCATGTTGTTATGTTGTTGTCATCAACATGACATCAACATGTCCTGTGGAGTTAAATAATTTTAGAGAGGTTAGCCAAGAGGAAGTTAAGGTATTTGCGTGTAAGCCCTCTTCTAAGTTCGGTGTCCTGGATCCTTTACCTGCAATGGTTCTAAAGGGCTGTTTCTCCGTGTTGCTACCTACAATAACTAAGTTTGTTAATTTGTCTCTCTCAACTGGCAGAATGCCTAATGCATTGAAAGTCGCCACTTTATCTTCGTCCTTGAAGAAACCTGATGCTGACTTCAAACAGTTTTCAAATTTTCGTCCTATGTCCAATTTGACACTAAAAAACACTTTCTACTCCACTGTCCATTTTTGGCACAAGCTATGAAAAATAAATAGATAAATATATTAATATGTTTATAATTTATTATTAATAATGCTTTTTATTTTTCTTCATAGGATACGGAGGAGATAAACACCATAGATGAACTGGTATTGAAACTTACCAATGTGAAGTTGCCTTGGGATGAGTTTTGTCCAAATGAACTCACCAACTGGCTGAATGTCTTTGCTCGCAGCCATTGGACAACCAAGGAATTGACCCTTTTAGGAATTTTACCTACAGTGGGCGCTCTCCTTGGCAAAACCGAGTTGAAGCTGTTTTCAACTCATAAGGAGAGGGGTAATATGTATTGTATTGCCCTTGCCCCTTCAGGTGCTGGGAAAACACCCACTGCTCAAATCAGCTGCAGCCGACCCATCGTCAATCATCTGGAAGTGAAGATTGGAGATGATAAGCAGATCTTGGTGGACAATTCTTCTGTATCTGGTCTCTTCAGCTATTTTCTGAATGAAAAAGCAGTACCTCTTATGTGCATTGATGAATGTCAGGAGTTTTTCAACAAGATGCTACATCCATTCAAGTCTTCTAATGATCAATCCCTCACAATGGAGCGCATGTGTAAGCGGTACGATGGAGATGCCTGGTACAGTGTTAAAGATAACAAAGGCAAAAGAGTTGGCACGCAATTTGCCGCCATGTCCCTTGTTGGCTACACCACACCCAAGATGTTTTTACAGAGAGTATGGGGAAGAGTGGTTGAAAACAAAAATGGCTTTGCCGACCGTTTTCTAGTGTTTTGCTGCAGTCAAGAGAATATATCAATCATTGACAAGGAAGAGTATTCCTCGCAATTGGATGAATTTGCCATTTCATCTCTTGATTTGGTTTATGAAAAGATCTATGCAGAACACAACTGTGGTGATCCTGTGGAATATAAGCTGACTGTGGGAGCTAAGGAAGTGTATCAGAAATTCATTGCACAATCGACACAAGAGGGTCATCAAAGTGATGCAAAAGTATCAAAGAATGCACTAAAGTTGGCATTAGTGCTCCATGTTTTTTTGATCGTCTCAAGAAAGCTATAGACAGCACTGTTGGGCCAGTTCCCAGAAACATACCCGAGCACACCATGAAGATGGCCAT